CTGATAATGGAGAATTGTAAGACAACGACAATATCACAATACTCGTGTCACGGAGTCGTCGACCGGGATGAGCCAAGGATAGCCGTAGCGCCGAGATACTCCATCCTGCTAGAGAACATTAATTGAGTATGAGGAAGATGGGGCATAAACATAAACTATGGGAAAGAAAGCTTCGTAAGAACAAATTGAAAAAGAAGTTTAAATATTCAGAAGTTGGTTTGACAACGACATGTCACATTACATTCCGCGCCTCCAGCTTCTTAACAGCCATTCTGGAGAACCAGTCGATCGCAGGCGATCTCAACTCTAGAGACTCGATTCGTTGAACGGAAACAGTACGAACAAGAAAGAGAGAATGGATAGTACCCGCTAAACTTAAATAAAGAAGGAAAATAACGATGAAAAACGCAAAACAAAGGAATACGAAGCGTTCCTCATGAGCGAGTTCCTGTTAAAAACGGCGTTGGCCGACAGCAATGTGGAAGATCCAAAAAAAACAAAATGGTGAGTGTTCAAAAGTGTTGCAACTACCTCGTATCTGTTCACCTAAATGCCAGTGAAGTTTAAAATCGTTTCTTTATAAGCCTAAGACTAAATACTTTATGAAAATGATACGAAAATGACATAGCGTTGTTTAGAACCAAAAACTCGCAACACCTGCATTTCACTAGAACACAAAAAGAAAGCATGCAAAGGTAGCTTTAAGCACGAAAATGTTAAAAATGTCACAACACAGCTGTTGAGGTGAAAACGGAAGGAAACCTGAGGATCCAGTAGGTGTCTGATGTTTCACTAGAAATAGAAAAACAAAGAACACTTGAACAGATTTGTGTCAAAGCAAGCACCAAATGGAAGAGGAAATATACACACACCAAAAATTGAATAATTTTCAATCATAAAAAATATACAATGCATAGCAAAGCATAACAACTAAAGCCTGGAACAATAAAATGAGTAGCGAGCGTAGAACAAAGTAACTGACTCCTTCAAGGGGTTGGGTCCTGTGGCTCTCAAATTTTTAATGAATGCCAGAATAAATTAGAAATTGTAAAGGAAACGACATCGCACATTATGTTCATGACAAAAACTGCATAGTTCATTATGTAAGCGTGGAGTGTTCAACTTTTAATCGGCACCCCGTTGTTAGCTCATTTCGTATCCACACGATGAACCTGGGGCACATGCATTGCACAAAAGTGGTATCAATGAAGAAATTGCGAAAAAACTCGGCTCTACTGATGGAAAAAACCAAGTTCTGCCGGCAACGCGGTTGCAAGATCGGTAATTGAAACACAGTGTGAAACTGAGTATAAAGCATATACCTTCAAGAAACGCAGCAAACTAACATCACACATCAAAAATAGAAATGGTGAGGTGAAAACCCTCAAAGTTTCCCATTTTAACGATGCCAATAACGCATCACCGAAAACTAGGTGACAGTGGATATTAACTGCTATCGCCATGATATGAGGCGTGTTTAGCTGTTTCGTTCAGCCCACGAAGAAGTACTCGTATTCGACTCGATTTGCCAACAAAACACGTAATACAGGCACATCTCTAAGACGATGTTGGAACATCTGTGCAAAAAAACGCAATGATAGAACAAGTCAATTAGCAACACCAAAAACATACCACAGGAAATTCGTGAAAGAAAATAGAAACAAAACTGTATCACCTGTAGTCTTGTTGATCGTCGAGTGACTCAAGTGGGCGCCAGAAAATCTTCCATCTTTCCCAGTTGCGTTCAAGAGTAACCTACTGTGTTCTGCTCGCTCTAGGGACTCATCGTGCATCACATCTTTCTTTCGTGAAGAACGCTGACCATCGGGTCGGTGGACTTCCTGCAGTGCGTTTAACACCCCGAGGAATACAGTCACTAACGGCTGTTGTCCATCGGTCGTCAAAAAAAAATAAGACTACTAAGACGCTTTTTGACCTGAATTTGACTAAAACGTATCCAACACATACGTTCTTCAGAGGACAAGGACAACCTATCTTCAGAACACTTCAACAGCAATTTTCGGCCACAAAATGCAAGCGAATAAGAAGATTTCAGCCTATAACCTCAGTTTCGTAGCGCTATCTAGAGCTTCCATAATTGAAACGTCAGATGGATAACAACACAAAGGAAATCGATGACGAAGAAAACGATGTGGCAGCTATGTAACAATCTATCACCCATTTAGCCACGAACTAGTCGGAGCATTGATGCGACCTCACTGCATTAACATCACGAGGTATTAAGGCTGCCTCTAATCATTTCGTTGCTTCAATCTGAAATATTGCAACATTAATCCCAGTATGCATTCCTTCATTGATAAGCTAACATGAGCTCACAAACAACTTTATTCGGCCATCGTTTCGACATCTTCGCCTTCCCCAGGCCATCGAGTCGGTTCCTCAGCTCTGAAGAAGACCAAGATATCGAAATGTTAGTCGATGAAAGTTGTTTACCAAACACGTGTTGGCTTACCAATGGAGCAATACATGTCGATCATACAGTGTTCAAAGGAGAGTCGGTTCGGAAATATTGATCTCAATGACTCTGTAGAGTAAAGAATCTCACTTTATTAATCGGCAGCAAAAGCCATAGTGTGGGAGCATATTTCCAGTATCACCACTTGTGCGCAAAGCCTTCGGCTCTCCCATAACCGCATGTGATTCTTGTATGGTTACCAACCTATAGTTCTCGTGTCTCTAAACAGTCCTACATTATAAAGACAACGAGAACACAGTTCTAGTACGAAATTGAAAGACTGCAATTTCAGCGGCGATGAATCTCAACTGAAACGAAGAAGATATAAACAAACAGAAAATAAATTTTAAACGTTTTTTGGCATACCTTCTTCGATTGTCAGGCAAACGCGGGGCTGATGAATACTCCTTTTGGATAAGACCTTCTGGATAGTTCAATTACCATTCAGTGCAAACAGTGTAGTGATTAATGGAAATAAGTAATAACAAGTTTTTCGTATAAGAGGTTAAACTAGTGTTCCGAGTGAAGAAAATACTCGGTTATTTTGCGCCTCTCTTGGACAGTGGAATAATTACATAAACCTATAACACTGCCCGATAGAGGCGTTATATGGATAACCACTATCACATAGCGGGTTCTGTACGCTGAAACGACACTAAAAAAGCAATATTTTATCAACCTTTAACACTGGATGTTCTAAATAGTGTATCCGGAGATAAAGAAAACCTGAACGCGACGTATGGCACGAGTTCGGGTCCAACCAACTGTCACATCTGGCAGAACTGAAATGTTTTGTTCACAGAGACAGCGCTGCCTATACTACTAAGCCCCAACGTGTGCTATAGCCCTGCTTCTATCGTTTTCAGAACACCGAAATCCCTTCATTCCTAAAAAAGATTAAGCTTCCCTAAAGAAATGATGTAATACTAAGAAGTGTCAACACCAATAAAAGAGATTACCTCTGCCTTCCTATCAGCTGAAGCTGCTTTATTGTTTGTCCCAAACTGCCAATATTAGGTCAAGCATCGGGATTGGTGGATGGCTTTAGAAATTCGAAATGGGCCTGGCAGACATCATAACATCTTCGAAACTGGCCAATACCAGAGTGTACAAGAGACAAACCAATGGAAATTATTCAGAGACCCACACCACTTGTGAAGACGGTGAGCTGAAGTAAGTAAGTAACTTTGTGTATGTGGTCCAAGAGTAAACACACGGTTCCCCGCGTGTTCTTCCTTTTATGTCTTAACTCCACCATCTCCAAAACTGCAAGGGAAATTTATTCCAAAACCCTCAAGCAATAGTTGAAATCACGCGAAATGTTGGAGAACCATCGTCAAGTATGAATGCGAGGAAAACGAATCGAATGCAAGAAGTGCTAGAATTCCCATAGTAAATGTGATAACAGGTCATGTAAAAATTAACGAAACGCTTTTCATTATGCGTCTACTAAGGAGTTAGTAAAGTCCGTTTCTGTGTTCAGAAAGAACCATTCTGTATAATAAGGTCACCTAAATGATATCATCATCTTCCATGTGTAGCGTGTTTGGGACATCGTCATCGTAGATTCGGCGACCGTAGAATAAGAACATATAAAAACGGAGACCTTAACTTTTCCATAAAATGGCAATCGTCATAATCGCATAGCGAGACTCATAACATCTCCTCTCAGACAGCGACCATGAGCAGCTTTCAGCTCTGGAGTTCCATATTCGAAATACTTCTGAACCATATGATTATCAAAGACAACAACTGTTAGAATGCGAGCATTAATGAAAACTTCATTGAAAAGCATTTGCTTCCCTTTCGCTGGTTCACGCTCAAGTTTTTGTTAGATAATTCGAGATCCATTTTGACATTTAACATATTCCTGTGCATATAAAAGAACACCGGCTATTTGAAGGTGAGAAAGTCGGCCGTTGCAGAGATCATCCAAAATGTAACACCAGTTTCGATGTCTTGCACTGTCATTGTCAGTTCGATGTCTGCCCCTTCAAACACCAAAGTGACTAATATTGGATGACTGTGGTGGAGCGCTGAGCATTGATATTTTTGCATTGTTATATCATTGAGCACACATTCCTTGAACCAGATGTGGTCGCTGCATAGTTGGAATTTCACTGGCAAAAAGTTGCTGGATTGCTCCTAGCGTTGGAGCCGGCGGCGGTTGCAATGGCAGCCAATTGAGCTTGGTGTACAATACGGGGTATGTTGTTGGATGTGAAAGTGAAGGAATAGCGGACGATCCACCTATTCATGAATACGACTGCTCCGAACGATTGGGTTTAGATTCAGGATTAGGTGGTGCATGAAAAAAAAAGCGCTGCCATACTATTAGGAAGGTTTAGCATTTCATCCCGATAGTACGGAGGCGACGACGAAAAACATTTGATGACATCGTTCCCTCTGGTCAAGATGCACCTGTCCCATTCTGAGAGTTTTCCATGTTTCATGGTACGCTTAGTGAAGGGTTCGTCGCATAGAGTGCATTCCAAGGTCCGTATGCATAACGTGGTGCAGAGTGTTACATTGTAGATGGACCAACGATGCCGTTATCACCTCTCATGAGATGTGGATCAACCTGGAAATCGAATGTTACAGCATGACCTTCTGAATCTGCACAAAAGAGGATTCCATGCGACAGTGAAAGTCCGAATCCATTAACATCGTAACGCCTGTCGCCGTTGTATCCTAAAGTGTCCACAAATTATGATTTACAAAATGCATCGACACGGTGACACCTATGCAGTTCCTAATGCGGTGTCCCACTGATATATATAGTTTTTTTTTCAGTGCATGATATAAGGTTATTGCAAGACTAATGGGAAGGTTATTCCATTTTCCCTGCCACCTGGAACCGTCTTTGGACCTTTTACAAGAGAAAGGCCATTTTTCGGACCATTTAGATATTGACGTGCGGCTGGCCTTGACTTTGAAATGATTTTCTCCATGTCGTTGCTCCAGTCGAGAAATACGAAGACGACGATGGTCATGTCCTTAACAAATTCAGTCATATTAGCTACAGCTTCTAATTCTAGAGCTCTAATGAGGTCTTTCGTCTTGAACCCATCAAAAGAGAAGTTCTTTTCAAATTCATTCATCAGCGTCCTCATATCCTCCACGGATAAAGAGTCCACAGTTGCCATGATCGCCTCGATCCCCAGGTCACCCAACAAACGTGCTTCGAGTTCCCAATAGGGATTAGTAAATTGAACTTGTTCGTTCATTTTGATTTGTTTGTTTTGTTTCACATCTCGGAGTTAGCCAAGTCTTGTGGGTAATTAAATCGCAAAAGATTAACAGTTTATCCTTGGATCCCAATTAATTTGGGTACTGATAAAGTTGGCGCGGACTCGTGGGTAATTAAACGTCAAAAGTTTAGCAGTTCCCCTTTGGGTTTTAATTAATTGGGTTACTGATAAAGATTACGAATTTTAAGAGTGAATTAAAAATAGTACAATAGATTTGAGAGTTAGAATACGAATAGATTAGAATAAGGAGTTAATAAGATTAGATTAGAGAGTAAGAATAGGAACAGTTCAGAATACGAAGATTCTTAGATCAGAGAGTTAAAATAGAGATAGAATTTTACTAGAATATTAGAATATTTAAGAGCATTGGAGTAAGAATAGCATTCCCGATTAAAGAATTTGAATAGGATTAAACTGGAATCAGCAGGTAGAATTGGACCAATAACAGCTTGAATGTCTTTGAGTGATGTTGAAAGAGATATCGCAAGTTCTGATGAGAGACTGAAGAATATCGTCAAATAATCCTAAAAGGGTAAAAATCTAGAATGTCTTAGAAAGGGATGGTGCGTATCGACCAATCTCCGTACTGCGCAAAAGACCATTACCGAATGAAGCTCGATATCGAGCGGTGTTCTGTACACTGGAGTCGACTCGACGCAACAACGAGCAACAGATATCGCGAAAATTGCCACCGCGATCACTCTGGACTATCGGCTCGGATCAATGCGCCTCTGAAGAAAACGAATAGGTCGAAACGTTAGCAGAATGAAAGTTGCTACACCATCCCCATCTCGGCTCAATCACACAGCATTTATTATATCTAGAATATTCCTAAGTTGTTGGTTTGGCTGCAGAGAAGAAATAGCGCCGGCAATCAACAATGCTTTTTTAAAATACATGGCAAAATAGGTGACAAAAAATAACATTCCGTCCATTGTAAATGAAAATGTGTGTTCATATCGTGAACAAGAACTACAGAAACGGTAATGGATAGATCGCTAATTGTAATATCAATTCGCATACTAGAGATATCTAGACTAGTCCGTGGTGATCTGCTGAAGTTACAGGAAGTTCCACAATGCCGAGCAAAGACTGGCGGATCCTTCAACACAGACGCATAGAACAACATTAAAAGAAAAGCAATTCTAACAACACGAAATATATAAAGTATATTCGACCGACAGTTAAAGTTAAACAGTTGCTGGTATGGCACGTCTTCACTGGTTGTGCGAGCCCCAGCACAATTTCCGTTTTTTCAGAGCTTTGCTGGCCTATCCATTGTAGTAAGCTGGAATTCCGGAGTCAACCTGGACAAAGACTGCCTTGGGTCGTCACATCCCACAGGAAGTCGCCCACTTTTGTGGATCAAAGGAACAAAGGACCCGCATGGTGTGGTGGTGAACGCGTTACTCCCCGGAAAGGATAATAGCGCGTTCGTTCCCCACCATAGACACCTGCGGTCCAGAGTTTTGCAAATATCTCAGCAACGTTGTGGTTGTATTTCGCTTAGTAACCTGCCATGAAAATTATAGAAGGCAGAAAACAAAACGTTAAACATTGTGATTTCAACTACAGCCATAGCTTAACTGGGTTCTATGCCGATTTGCGCTCCCCAGATCAACCCCGCTGACGGGTGATTGCTGTGGCAAAAAAGATCGATAGAAATAGCTGAGAGACGTGCGAAACAAAGGACCCGCATGGTGTGGTGGTGAACGCGTTACTCCCCGGAAAGGATAATAGCGCGTTCGTTCCCCACCATAGACACCTGCGGTCCAGAGTTTTGCAAATATCTCAGCAACGTTGTGAACAAAGGAAGATTTGCCACCATGGACGGTGGTGGATCCTGGTATTGATTTACTCTTAGCCGGGCTTCCTGATGGAAACGCCGGACTCCTCGTCAGCTTCGTAGACTCTACCGGGTGGACAACTCTCTCCGCTATACATCGCTGTTCGACATCGAAGAACACCTCCCAGCCACGATGAGGAGTTAACCGTTAGAAGAACACTGCTTTCTTGGTAAGCAAACATGAGCAAGATTTATTCAGCATAACACTGGCTGAACGTTCGGCGGTTTCGCCTTCTTTAGAACTTGGATGAACCAAACTAACACTGAATCCACTCCGTTAAACACTATCATAGCCACAGGAGACAAAACCTAATACGCAAGTCTTCATTAGCGCAGTGAAGAGTTTACCTCAAACACTTGTCGTTTTCTTGCCTGTAAAACGATCAGTTATTAATGAGAACTAGCTGCACAACGTCTTACACAAATTAGAAATGTGCACGGCTCAGATCAAAAACCCGATCTGAGATATGGCGATAGATCAAACAGCACTCCTCAGTATGGTTCATTTTTGGATTATTGTAGTTTATCCAGAACGCTTCAAAACTTCTACGCTACATGTGTAGATTCCTGTGCGAGTACTATAACTTCAAGTTCAAAACCCACAAATTTAATGGAACATTTTATGATTTTCAAGCCATTTCGTTCGCTTCGGAGGAACAAATGCCCTCAAAAGACAAATTGAAGCAGTTATGAGAGACTCTCTTAAAGAGAGTAAAAGCGAAAAAAAGAATCGGGGAAAACGGTTCGGTGACCTAATAAAAAGGTGGCCATTGAACTTGAACAATAACACCATAGAAAGTTATAAGGATTAATCAAATTCCTAAAACACAATCCTGAGTGAGCGAAGTAACTTAAAGTTCAACTGTGTTAAGTTAAATACAATTAAAATGAATTGAGCTAATTAAATTAAACAATTAAACAGAATATCACTGCATGGGAAAGCATTGTTCAGCTAGGCCGAAAAGTCAGCGTAATCTAAGAGCAGAGCAAACATAGGGAGTTAGAGAGGTTCAGTCAAAACAACTGTCTCATGTTGTCAGCGCTTATTCGCCTTCCCTCCCAACGGTTTACCGCCTCATCGTCGTTGGCAGGTGTTCCTGGGTGTCGGACCGTGATGTACAGCAGGAGGATCCATTCCGCAGCAGAGTTTCCCAAGCTAAGGAGTCCGGTGTTTCCATCAGGAAACCTAGCTAAGAATAAGCCAATACCAGGACCCACAACCGTCTTGTTATCAAACTCCTTGAATGGTGGCAAATCTCTCTCTTATCCACAAGGGAAGCGAACTATGGTGGTGAAGACCTGGGGTAGACTTTGGCCAGGTTGACCTTGGAATTTCAGGAAATCACAGTGGCTTAACCAGCAAATTTTTGAAAAGTGGAGATTATGCTCGGTCCGCACATCGAGTGAGGACGTGAGGACGGGCTATTCAAATATCAAGTGAGCAACTATTCGCTTTTTTAAAGCACTGTGCTGACAATTTGAATTTTCTGAAAGGACGTGAAATGGGAGATTGGAATTAAGTTACCGACGGAACATTGCTAGCTAATAACCTATTCAGACCGTGCGGTTAGCGTCTGATTCAAAACGCAATCGACAATTAACAGGAGAAAACTCGTACCAACTAAACGAGAGATGTGGAGACGAATGCCAAACATTTAAAGAAAAGCAATTGTTTCAACAGATTTAACCTTATCTGAAAGAGATGACAGTGAACACAACGTATTCACAAGTAGAGCATTGTAAAAGGAAGCGTTCTGCTCTCAATATATTTATTGATTGTGCACTCCGTTGTAGAATCAGTTGAATGCAACTAGTCCAAGTGAAAAACTTATGTATGCATGACGTAGGTCTTATTTTCTGCCATTTTCATGTACATTTATTTCATCCACTTCCTTTTACTGAGTTGATGTGAAAGTCGTTCAGCACTTTTGAAAAGAAATCCTTTCATCATTTCTTCAAACAGTTAGAAAGTACATTTGAAGACGTTAGAGAATAAGGAAGACCGCCATCAGGTTCAGAGCCGTTCTAAGGACATGAAGTAGTCGGTATAATAGAGAATCCAAAAGCAAAGTTCCGAACTGTTGTGATACGTTTCTAGAAATAGATGCTCAACAACACCACGAGTGTTTCATCAGGTGTTAACACCAACCGTGTTAACGAAAACCATTTAACCTCTGTCTGAGCGCTCTGCATAAGTAATTGACAGAAAAAACTCCAAGTAAACTTGAAAGGCAAAAAAAGTAGAAACAGCGAAAGCTCTCTATCAATTTCGTTCCAGCCTAACAAAACTTTACTATTGACTGCGATTTTATTTGAACCTTGCGTTATGACCACTGAAAGAGCTACTTTAAATACTGCGAGTTCACTTCTAACTTCGACTGACTTCGACGGCAGCGTGAGCTTCTGTTACTTTCCTTCCTCAAGGTGTTGAGTGCCAGTATCACCTGTATCACCTGTAGTCCCGTTGATCGTCGAGTAACTCGAGCGAGCGCCAGTGAATCTTCCATTTTTCCCTGTCGCGTGCAAGAGTAGCCCAGTGGGTTCTGCTCGCTCTAGGGACTCGTCGAGCATCATCTTCAAGGCTCTTTGTGAAGAACTCTGACCATCGGGTCGGTGGTCTTGCTGCAGTACGTTTGACATCCCGAGGAATCCAGTCACTTACTGCTCTTGTTCATCGGTTGTCATTCATACGGATTACGTGTCCAGTCTACCTTATCTTCGACTGTTTAGCGTATAGAACGGCATCTTTGATTTTTAATCGTTGACGCAGATCGGAGCTTCGGATCCCATCCCTTCCTTGTGTGGAACGGGATACTCCTAGCATCATCCTTTCGACTGCGAGTTCGATAACGCTGAGTAATCTTTCATCCTGCTTACGCGGCGACCTGGCAAGGTATAGCTGGGACAGAACACCGTTTGAGCGCCTTCGACGACGGTTCCTGCCTGACATTGTGGATTGGTGGAAAATTTACTGCCTCGTAGCTTCCCAAATCCAGTTTCGACTAAATGTAAAAATAAAGTAAACTGGATGCCAAAGAAAAATTCCACTGGACCAAAATGACTGATATCTACATGAGCAGCCTTATTAAAAAGGAGCCAGCGACCTCATTACTTTTTCGCTTGGTGTAGA